CTGTGTCATGTTTTTAAATAAGAAATAATTGGTGAATACATTGAAGAAGAATTGGTAAAAAAATATCAATTTAAGAAACAAATAATCCCAATTGAAGCAATTGAAGATGAAACTATTCCAAAAAGTAGAATTTACTTGAGGTACATTTTGCATATATTTATTGCATATTTATGGGATCTTCGTCTTTCTCCTCATTTCCTCATATTTTAATAGTGAAAATGTTGCAGATTGTCAGATTTTATTATTCTTGATCCAAGGTGGCGGAGTCGTAAGATCTGGTCAATGGTCACGAAAAGGTTACTATACAATTCATGGATAAATCAATTAGTTAATCATATATATATATATATATTATATATACACATTCTAACAAATTGCAATATTAATAACAATTTAGTTATCATAAATGATTCACTTCAAGTATATCATTATTTCAATTATTTAATTATCTATTATCTGTCAATCATCTATCATTTCATATAATATTGATATAAATTTAATGATTTTTATATAAGCTTGGCTCAATGTTTCCATACATTGAAAGGGCAAAACAATTAAATTGGGGAATTATAATTTTTAATCCAAACGAACATTTCGGAAGTTATAAAGACGGTGATGTATGTTTATAATTAGATAGTACGATGTCAAGAGATCAATCAATTAATTTATATGCAAAAATTGAATAAGTCAAGCATAATGAAATATTTTATAAATAATTAGGAAAGAAAATTTGGTAAAATACCTGGGTCTGAAAGTCACCAGAGTCATTGTATATATGTTTGGGAAAATATTGTGAGGTAATATTTATAATGATAGTAAGATTTATTATGATATCATTATTATTTATAATAGCGTTAATTTATTAATTACTTTTTCAATAAATTAGAAATATGACTGCAAAACATATTTTAATAGTAGGACATAGTTATGGTGGAATAAGTGTCAATGCAATGTTAGATGATTGTAATTAATTAAATTATTAAACTCAATTTATTAATACAATATTTTAACGAGTTTAACTAATAACACTTGTATGTTTGTTTGTTTGTTTTTTATACAATAAGGCAAAGATTTTAAAAGTCGTGTATGTGCAATTGCTTTGACTGATAGTGTACATAGCTATGGTATGATACCAAGTTCTTCTAAAAAATGGTTTAAAAACCACACAATCAATTGGATAAAATCGTCATTACCAACTAATGAGCCTGTCAATAATAATGCGAATCAAGTATTTGGCTGTGAATGTCGTTCGGCTGGTAAATTATCATTGTTTTTTTTTTGTGAGAAATAATATTCTTTTTTTGAACAGATAGATAGATAGATATTCAAACGAGGAGCAAGAAGAAATAATAAATAACTTTTTAATCATTAGGACATCGAAAACACGAGTATACATCTGGAACGGCAATTGAGCCAATCTTTGAATATTTAAAAGACTCACTTCATAAACAAAAACTTCAACAGGAAGCAAAGGCGGAAAATAAAGGAAATGAAGAAGAGAAGGAAGAGGATAAGGAAAATCTAGAACAAAAAAATAATTTAATTGATGATAATAAAATGGAAGTTGAAGGTGAGAATGATGATAATAAAGAGAAGGGCGAAAGAAAAGAAAAAAAGGCTACAATAAAGCTTGAAAATAATGAAATGGAGATTGATGGAAAAGATACCGATAACAGTATTGATAACAATATTGATAATAATGGTACCAATGATAATAACAATAATAATAATACCAATTATAATGACAATAATAGCAATGATAATGATAATAACAATAACAATACTAATGATAGCAATACCAATGACAATAACGATAATAACGGCAATATTAACAATAATACAACAGCTGAACAAGATACAAACGATATAGCAGAGAAGGATGAAAAAGGAAATATTGTTGATAACCAAGCTGTCATAACAACAACAAAGGTTGTTGATAATGGAGATGTTACAGCTAACGGCGATATTGACAATAATGTTAATGATAATATTAACGATATTGTTGATAATAATTCTAATGTTGATGCTGATATTAATAACAATAATAATAATA